CCAGCTCCCTGTACCGGCTTATTTTAAGCAGGCTAAATGATCGTGTCGAAAAGTAGCATGGTTGCACCCATTAAAGGCTGAAACAGACTCTTCCCGCAGTCAGAAAATCGCATGCGAGAGCCTTTTCAAATATGTACATGGAAGCACGCTCGCATCAATCGCACGCACCTCCCGGATGCGATTGATGCGGGAAGAATTATAATGTATTTGAATAGGCTCTTTCATGAGATTTCCTGAATGCGGAAAGAGTCTGTTTCAGCCTTAACCCTCGCCCATGTAGGGGGGGGGGGTTGGTGCAACCCCCCCCCCCCCCTGAGGTTTTTCTTAGCTACACGCCGAACCGTTTCAGATAGCCTGCTCAAATTTTCAGTACCCTCTGGGGCATCCTTCGCAACTTTTGGTATTTTTTTGTCAAGGTCATGTCAGGTCACGGAGTTATGACGTCATAAAGGGAACAACCTCCGGCCAGATTTACGCTAAATTGGAGATTGCTTCACATTGGTATAAATGCCTACTGACCTGACACACTGATGGATTGTTTTAGAAACACAACTGGCTGATTTGACATTGGCACAATGTCCGTTGACATTTTGAAGGTTACTATGGTCAAGGTAAGGTCAGTGACCTCGGTTGACCTGTAATGACTTCTTGCACTTGTACCTATGCCTTTTCGGGGTATTTTGATGCCCTGAATTCGAATTTGCTATCCATTTCAGGCATCGTTGGTTGTTTCTTGTAGTTCATTTTGGGTCAGGGTCAGGTCAGTGACGTCACACGCCTGACGTGACCCAATGCACAAATGACCTTGCAGACTTCCGATGCTCCCAACGCATCATTTTTAGAGTTATGACATCGAAATGCACACCAAACGATAGAGAATTGATCAAGGATCACGATAGTGAAGGTTTCAAGTCGATATCTCTTACCGTTTTGCCGCAATCGGCGCGAAATCTGAAAAAGTTAGATTTTTCCGAAAATTTGACCTTTGACCGGTCATAAGTAGGTCAAATGTTGACCTAGGACCAAAAAATATACCACCAATCGCGAGATCTCGTTGAGAGCAATCCGTTGGTCTTTCCCGCTAAGCTCTACGACGCTCCGTTTTCAAACGCAAGGGGGGGTCGCACCAACCCCCCCCCTGCATGCGCGAAGGTGGCAAAACACCGTTTACGGGCGAGGGTTAAGGGTGCTTAACCCTGGCATGTGTAGGGGGGGGGGGGGTCGGATGGACTCCCCCATGGCTTTTCGCGAATAACTCGCGTAATCGGGCGAAAAAAGCGGCCGATCGCAACAAACTTTCAGTACCCTCGCATTGACCAATTTTACACCTACCCTGAAAATTTCATGGCCCTGACCCCAATGGCCTTTGACCTGTGACCTCTTTTCCGAGACCATGTTTGGCCGGAATCGCGATTCGGCGTATGTCGGCTCGCATTAGCCGCGCATTTGCAAGCTTTTCGTGGTTTCAAACGTTCAAACATGTGATTTGCTGTTGCTCCCATACATTAGGGTGGGTGTCAAGGTCACCTGAAGGTCAGGTCAGGTCATTGACCTTTGGTGACCTCGGGTGACCTCGGTTCACTTTTTCGAGTTTTACTTGTTTCTAGGCTAGTTTTTGGAGCTGAATTCGAATTTAGCAACCATTTGAACATTAACGAAGTAGTTTTGGTGCCTTCGTAACATGTTACGAAGCTGTCAGAGGCGGTCGACACCCGAATACCCGTCAATACCCGTCACGACGTCTACTGGTTGACCTGACCTGACCTGACCCGACCTGGTTTAAATGCTTAAAGACATCATCTGTGATCAAAACTAACACGATATTCGTGATCAGCATCCCGAAAAACCCCTTAGCAGCCACACTTTACGACTTTCTAACAGGTCTCGATTTTCCCGACTTTGGGTCATTGACCTGACCTGGAAGGTCAACCAATGACCTAGGACCTTAAAATTGGGTATCATCGGCTTCCTCTCGTGACGGGCAGCACGCTCGTTTTTTCCGCAAAGCTCTAGCTCGATCAGGGGCCAAACGGCTAGGGGGGGGAGTCCAACGAACCCCCCCCCCCTTCCTACACATTAGAAGCTGGCAAACGCCGCGCACATGCGAGGGTTAACCTCCTAGGCGGTGGCGGGGCATTTTTTGCCCCCCCCCCACCCTTTAGTTTTTTTCGATAGTACCTCCAGAACCGCTGCGCCGATCGTCACCAAACTTTCAGTACCCTCCCGTGAATACCTTTTGCACATTTTGACCATTTTTTTCCCCAAAGGCTATGATAGGTTGGCCGCTAGTGACGTCGGAGTGACGTAATTTCTGCCAATTTCGACAAAAAAAGGTTTTGCGGGAAGAGCTGTCAGGCCTACACTCTACAGCTTTAGAGATACAGAAAATGTTTCAAACATAAAAGGTGTAAAATTAACAGGGCTACAAAACTCCTATTACGTATTTTTAACCCTATTAGTGGCAGGGGGGGTTGTTTTCATCCACCCCTCAGGTTTTTCGGGAATATCTCCGAAACCGCTGAAGTTACGATGCTGAAATTTTCTGACCTTTCCTGCAACTAAATTGGGCACATTCCCTGAAAATTTCAAGTTCATAACTTTACCAGGGGCGGCTCCAGAGCACTGGGAATTGGGGGTCCTATTCGTGAAGCGAGTCATTTGGGCGAAGATCACGATGCTGATGTATTATAACTGTATGCACCAGTTTTACGAACAGTGAATGAAAGGTATCATGTGATAACATATACAAAGTTATTGTGCATCCTCTTTTGACACGTTTTTGCTATAATAGGCGGATCCAGGCGTCCAAAAAGGGGGGTTATGTTTTACCTCCCAACATAGGTGCCCTGACACCGCCTATGCATGACCAATACAATTGTAGTCGTTCTCTCATAAGAAAATTGTAACATAACAAGACCATTACCACCCTTTTTAGAAACAGTACCAACAAAAACCTTATTTACTATACTTTTTGTGTACCCCCAATCTCAATGATCTGTATCCGCCTATGATTTTTGAAAATGCATATTTTTAGGATCCATGTGAATTCCTGGTTCATTCTCTATCGATCGGCAAAAGTTGTGTTAAGATTGGTTCAGAAACCTGGCCGTGATAAACAGTCTAAAATGTATCTGCAATTTGTCCGTTTTTACCCCCCTCTACCCCCCTATTGACATTTTTAATTTCTATTTTTTAGAAATGTAGATCACGTTGAGCGAAATCCAATGCCGTTTAAATTTTGAAAATCGGCTCGTTAGATCTCGAGATATCAAGGTGGGGTCGTAAACAGCCCCCCCCCCCCCCCGCCACTAATAGGGGTAGCCAGGAGCCTGCCACTAATAGGGTTAAATTGCTGGATTTTGACCCAAAAAAAAAACAAAAAATAGATTTTTTTGAATATAATTGCCGAAAAACCCAAAAAGTTTTCTGAATTTCGAAAAAAAACGGAATATACGGAAAATCCAAAAAGTTTTCTGAATTTCGAAAAAAACGGAGTAGTACCTACCGCCTTCTATCCACATACCAAATTTGAGATCGATATCTCTTTTTTTGCCAAGTTATAGCGAAACAAAAACTTCAAAAATTGATGACGTCAAATTTTCAAACTCAATTTTTAGCAATTTTAGACCTCGTAGCGCAAAGCAAAGACCATCATTAGACTCCCCGTGACGAGCTGCATCGAATCAATGCCCTTTTATGCAAAACTATCAACTTTACGCTTTGACCTTTTTTGACCTGACCTTGACCTGACCTCCACCAAAAACTAACTTAAACCGTACCTGATGGTCTTATAACCAACACCATTGAGTTTGAAATGAAAAATTGGCCATAAAACATGCATCGCACAACCACGGATCACCTAAGTTATGTGATCCGTGGCACAACCTTAGTATTCAGTAAAGTTGGGTTCACGTGCACAAGATCCCAGAGCTCACCCACACCAAAGCCGGACTTTGCCGTATCAGCCGTGCCGTACCTCAACCGTACTTCATCCACAGTAAGCCAGAGCAGCTATCGTAGCCGGACCTGGCCGTAGCACGTCGTCGGCAGGGCGCTGGACTTGAGCCGGACTTGGCGGTCCGAAACTATACCAACTCCGGAGCGCTACGGCAAAGATTGGGTAACCGGAATAGAGTCATATCGACCCAAACATCCTGTTCCGACGGCGTTCCGTTTACACCGGCCCAAATCTGGCATGTTGGAGTTGCCGGGGCGAAACGGACTTGAGCGGTGAGCCAAACCGAATTGCTGGTTGGGCTTGTGGCACGGAAGTGGGACCTTTGGCTGGACTGACAACCGGCGCCAGCGGCAGCCTATGTAGCCAGCATATACCTAGGGGAGACTGGGGCTGGTTGCAACTTTTTTGCATTTTGCTATCTGTTGCAAACACGTTTGAAGCTATACCTACAGTTATTTCTTTTGTTCTCACAAAGCATGATGTTTTCTTGATACATTTTTGTTACAATGAAAAAGAGATACAAGGTGAGATAGATTAGTTTAAACTAAGTTTGCCTTCGCGCCCTTACATTTATGATTTACACACAAAACGAATATTTTAGTACAATCATCCAAATGTTAGTGATGAATTTCTTATTGTTTTCGATTGCCGATTGTTTCGAAGATAACGGTTGCAAAGATTTCTGAATTGCAGTTTGCAGTCCAATATTTTTATATAAGTTATAGTAAATGATAAGATTTATTTTGAGATCACCTCAAGCAATTATCATCCTTTTTACTTTCCATCCACTAATGATTCGCCATGCTCCCAATAGACCGGTTTACATAGGGTTTGTTGCAAGCTTATATCTCCGTCCGTGATGTTGCAAAAGATGCCAATGGTGCTTAACAATTTACAAAATGATCCCCTCTAAATATTTGAAGACCACTGCATCGAAATTATCGCCAAATTAACGAGCTAGAGCCTCGTCAAATATGCTATGTAAACCGGGTTATTGAGCCAGCTTGATCTTTGTCTATGACGTCAAAATTTATGACGACAGAAATTTAGGATTCTTTGATTGGCCAGAATGACACGAATTCCTTTTGATGACGTCATACAGCAACGCATGAGACGCCATTGCCGTGAAGAAACGCCATCTTTGTCTCCGTCCGTTGGTGGTCGCTTTGGGTGATTTGTATCGACCCGCCAGCGATCATCTGTCATTTTAGCTGGCCTCAATATCAAGTGACTGGTGTATACATATTCGAATTCTCGTGCGTTTTGGATAATCTCTGCCTGGCCAGTTCTCCAGTAGAGGTTGTTAGAAGGCTGGCATCTTGCAGCGCCACGTGGCGCTATCGTCTACAGAGTTTCCGTGAAGACCCTTTCTGTCAATTTAACTAGGCCAACAAACAGTGATAATAGGCCCTGTCGCAAAAATGACAGACATGGCAAAGATGACCATATATGACAGTGCCGGTGAGTACCTGTGGGCAGTGTTGGTGTGCTGGGATGTCCGTTTTTTGGTGTGTCAGGATATTGGTTTCACAGATCGCATTTTTATTTTTTGAGTTTAAAGAACAGTTGTCCAGAGTGCTGTTCATGGGCACCTGCGGTGACTGCGGTAGCTGTGGTAGATCACAGGCTGAAAGTCCCGCCCACTTGTGTATACATCATCACAGTCGGGCGCACTAGGGTAATTCCGTTCCATATATAGAAACGTTTCTATATTTGGAAACGTTTCTATATTTGAAATGTTTTTTGTTCCATATATAGAAACGCTCGTTCCATAAATAGAAACGCCAACCTTCCTGATGATTTATTTTAAAGCAAGATGCGTTATATAACTTTCTAGATGGTGGAATGCCATCTAGTGGCAACAAGGAAGCACTCAGGTGAAAATGACATGTCAATTTCGCCAAAACTTAAAACATCTATTTAGCCCAAATTAGCCAATATTCTGCCAAAAATCAGCCCAAATCAGGTTCCAGTCGGGGAAACCATGGTAAAATCTGCTATTTTTAGCAGTCTGCTATTTTTAGCAGAAATCTGCTAAAAATGGGTACGCATGTGACGTCATCGTACCCAAATATAGCAGATTTGGGTACGGCCCCATACAAAAGCAGATCTGCACCCTAATTGAAGCAAATGCGCATCAAATGCCTGGCAGATTCATGATGAGAATAGTGCTGAGAGTGTTCTCTGCTATTTTTGTTCAGATCCGACTATTTTCAAATTCATTATTTAAAAATAGTCGGATCTGAACAAAAATATCAGAGGACATTCTCAGCACTATTCTAATCATGAATCTGCCAGGCATTTGATGCGCATTTGCTTCAATTAGGGTGCAGATCTGCTTTTGTCGGGGGCCGTACCCAAATCTGCTATATTTGGGTACGATGACGTCACATGCGTACCCATTTTTAGCAGATTTCTGCTAAAAATAGCAGACTGCTAAAAATAGCAGATTTTACCATAGTTCCCCCACTGGTTCTGGACGTCATGTTTGAAGGGAAACCTTAATGGAAGTTTTTCTCTTATTCGCAATTTCTTCTACATTTTACACAAACCGGAAATCAAATTGTCGTCATTACCATGGGCCACCATGGATTTCTTCGGGCCTCCTTGCGATTATAAACTCAAATGTTGGCTTGTCACTGGTGGTAACCGTTTTGTGCGAAATTTTGCCAGAGCTTGCGAAGATCGTCAAACAGGTGAGCGTGCACCTACCGTTTCCAAATATAGAAACGCAGCGTTTCCATATTTGGAACAAGCGTTTCTATATATGGAACATCGTTTCCAAATATAGAAACGTTTCTATATATGGAACGGAATTACCCTAGTGCGCCCGACTGATCACGTGTTCGTCTGCGGCGGCTGTCAATTTTGCGCCCAATTAACACGAATGCACAACTGCCGCGCCACTTTGCATGACAAATGGTTACTGTGGCCGCTGCGGTCGGATCGTTTCGACCGCAGGAGACGCAGCCGACCGCAGCCGTATGACGTCACACCACCCGCCCCATCCCCACTTTCTGTGACGTCATTACTCGGCTGACCGCCGAGCCGCAGCTACCGCAGGTGCCCGTGAACAGCACTCAGTATTCATTGTTTTGACTACTGCAATGGGTCAAACGCTGTTCACACATGACCGTCAGTCTGTCGGTGTCGGGCCCGTTACCGTCAACCTGACGGCCTGCAGCCCGTCAAACGAAAGTTGAGATTTGGTAGCTCCCATTGGCTGCCATATGTTGTGACAGAAATGGCGCATCATTTTCGAGATTGACGCAGATGGGGGAAGGGGATGGGGGGACGGTAAAGGCCGAGAGGTTAGAAATATTCTTTGAATTGCAGAAATAAAATACCACGCATTTACATTCTTATGTCAAATAATGCTGCAATTTTATTTAAATGAAAGACACATCGGTTTGCTGATTTAAATCGGGGATCGAATCTCAAGATATCGTGCCGTAATAAACACTTTCATCTCAACAAATGGATGGAAAATGGTATAAATGATCTCAAAAATGCACATAAGCTTCATGCTGCATGAGAAGGTTCCTTTTCCTCTTCCTCCAACACGCAGACAGTCAAACCGACGGGCCCGTCACCGTCAAAAGTTGACCATTGCTGAACTTTCCAAAGCGACGGCCGTCAGGTCCGGCGCCGGCGCAGTCAGCTGTTGCCGGCCGTCAAACGCTGCCGGTTCACACATGCCCGTCGACCTGACGGCCGTCACTCCGTCGGTTTCGGCCGTTTTGACGGTGTCGGGCCCGTCACCGGCAGACCTTACGGGCAGTGTGAACTGCGTTCGACAAAAGATCGTAAAGCAGAAGATCGTGGGAAGTCGATTGTATGCAAAAGATTGTAATCATAATGGATAAAGATTGTATGGCACAATGCTAGATTGGACAAATGATTGTATTCGCTAAAAATCGCTAAGGAACATGATTGTAGGCATATAAAAAAGTTGTATGGAAATAAAGATCATGCCATAAAATGGTGTAAAGGGACAGTTTTGAGGTGGTTTGTTTTATAACTCAAGAAGGGTTGGAGATAAAAGCATCAAATTATCAGCATTTTGTGTGGAATTTGGTACTTCACATGCCTGCTACATTAAAATTAAAAAATATACACCTGCATATAATTGTTAATCATATTCCTTCTCTGTCCCTCAGCACCCCAATGTGGGGTGTTAAGGGACACCTATATTATTTCAAGAAATGGTCATCAAAAGCCCACATTTTGGGTGTGAAAGGACACATGATTTATCTATTGAAATGTTTTGCATATTCTGTCACAAACAGGTTAGGTTCATTCACCACTAATGACCTTTTTAGCCAGTTACATGTAATGCAGTTTACGCTTCTGGAATATATGCTAATTATAAGGTAAACAGAATCAAAAAGTACCCTTTTGTCATCAACAAAAACCCACTTTGAAGCTAGCCACTTGTCACTATGTTACCATCTTTATTTTGGCCTTTTTATGATGACAGATCACATTTAGGTACCTACTACCTACATCAGTCTTCATTGACCCATCATTGTAAAACAGAGTGTTTTGTAGTTTTGAGGTGTTTTGTTAATTGTTATATAACTTGAGATGTGTTAGAGATAAAAGCATGAACTTGCCAGCATTTTATGTGGAACTTGCGTGTTTTCCATGCCTACGGAAAGAAAACTTAATGAAATTATATTAAGATGCTATTTTCTTTATTCCCTGTCCCTTAGCACCCCACTTCCACCTCTAGATATGCATGTATCTGGAAAAGAGGAAGAGCATGATGAATGAATGGGTGGATTTGTTTAAGTTTTTTTTCAGGAAACATTCAATACATGTGACAGTACACCAATGCATTCATTTGCCCTGTACACCTAAGTACTAGTTTCTGTGTTACACAGAAGTTTTGGAGAAGTTTTAGAGTTTTGGAGATGTTTCAATAACCCGGTTTACATAGGGTTTGTTGCAAGCTTATATCTCCGTCCGTGATGTTGCAAAAGATGCCAATGGTGCTTAACAATTTACAAAATGATCCCCTCTAAATATCTGAAGACCACTGCAACGAAATTATCGCCAAATTAACGAGCTAGAGCCTCGTCAAATATGCTATGTAAACCGGGTTAATGTTGTGAAAATTTAGCATGATTTTCAAAACCATTTTTGAGCCAAATCATTGCATGAAAAACCATGCCATTTTGTTCTACAGTCAAGAACAAAACAGTGTCAACTACCACACTCAAGTTTTTGTTTAGCCTTATCAAATTAGAAACTTAAAGGGACAGTATCATCGAAAAAAAAAATCCATGTATGGAGCTGATTTTTTTTTTACTAGCATTTCTTATTTTTCTGAATCAGAAAAACATAGTTTAAGGACCGAACTCGGTGAAAAATATTGCAACCACATTTCATTTTCATGATTCATTTTCATGAGCGAACCACCACTATACAAGCATGGCCGCCAGTTTGGAAGCATGCAACATTACTACAGAACTGGCGCAGATAATACATTATTGACGCTACGCTTACGCGGTCGTTCTTCTGATTGAGTTGTCCTTAGGGAGAGGTAGCCTTAGGTATTGCCTATAAAAATATAACGTGACAATTGGAGGGAGTGACAACTGGACGTGACAATTGACAATGGGAGAAAATATCACGTGACAATCACGTGATAAACGTCATACATTGGAGGGAGATTGTGATTCAAGCTGGAGGAATTCCTTTGTTGAGCCGCTAGAATCCGAAGGAAACAGCGGAAATTGCCTACGACTATTTAATGAATTTAACGGTGATGAATAAGTGCGAAAAACGTTTTGGCTTTATAAAATTTGATGAAATGACCAGGGTAAAAGTTTTATTACTGGCGGTCAATTCAAAACGGCGCAAACATTTAAACAGTGAAGATAGTGAAGCACGATTCAAAGTGTGGTACACCTTTCGTACTTTGAGCGGCGATAGCGGGATAACGGTGTGGAGCTTCGAGGATCGGTCTTCAGTTCCCGGACCAGAAAGGTGGGGCCTATGCAATGTCAAATTTCATCAAAATGGTGATACTGTCCCTTTAACATGACTTAAAGTTTTTCACACGCAACTGTCCGTCGTTAACACCCCGTTTAACGGTACGGCATAATTGGACAAAAGATCGTAAGCGCAAAAGATCGGCAGTGAAAATAAACATATGCCAAAAGATCGTAGACATGGGATAAAGATCGTACAGTGTAATGTTTGTATGGACGAAAGATCGTATGTGCAAAAGATCTTCAAGGTAAATGACCGTACCCCAAATGATCATATGAGATAAAGGTTGTACAGTCAAAATGTGGTATTCACATGGTGCAACCCAACTCCAGTGCATAAAAAGCTTATCAACTTCTGTGTTCGCGTCGTAAGTGGCCGTCGTAAGCTCAACCATACATTGATGTGTCAGAGCACAGATGGCTCAATGGCACCTAAAAGCAATACTTTGTATATGTGCCAAATGAATGTATGTGCAGCCGTTTTCAAGTATTTGAATGAAAATGAATGCTGCGTTGAAAAGCCGTATTATGAGTAACCCACTAAAAAGTAGCATGATATAATTGGTAACATGTGAAATGTGAGGGCCCTCTTTGGTTTAGGGGGCACACCCAGCCGTGAGGGCCACACCTATGCCTGTTACCCCCAATGTTTTTTTTTTAATCCACACCCATGCTCTAGCATCAAAGCCCATGGTAGTCACACTCATAATTGTGAATTTATTGATATAATTGTGGGCATGACAGGTTTCAAAGTTGGTGGATAACATGATGTCATAATATTCCTAATTAGTAATTCGTATTCTCAGATTTGTTTCTATATAAGGTGACCTAAGCATGGGTGTGGATTTTTATTTAATTAGGGGTGCTGGAGCACCCCCTCCAATGCTTCCTTGAGCAATAAGACTTGAGCACCCCAACAGGGGCACCCCAAAGGCCACAGCAGCACACGCACGTGGCGTTTTTTCGGAAGATATTTTGCGACTAACGCTCTTTATCCTACAATCATTTACCTACAATGTTATTCTATAGGATTATTTACTTTACGAACTTTGCGTTACGATCAGGGATGCGGAGCCGTGGAAATTTCAGACGGCTCCGGCTCCGGAGAAAAAAATAGGCTCCGGCTCCGAGTGAAATGGTCCGGCTCGGGCGGCTCAGGCTCCGGCCGCGGCTCCAGTACTCAGTACATCCTCTATACAATTCATTACGGGTGGAAGCAAAAAGACGAAGGGATTGGTTCACGTTGCTTCTGTATTTGCATACCAAGGCTATTTTGAGAACCACATGTTTTGCTGCCTTGTACTGACAAACCGAAGCATGTCAATAACTTTTTCCTTTTCAAAAAAAAGGAGCCGGAGTCGCCGCCTTTTTTGACGGCTCCGGCTCTTGGCTATATTGTTTCACGGCTCCGGCTCCGGGCAAAATATGCGGGCTCCGGCGGCTCCGGCTCCATCTCCGGCTCCAGCCCCGCACCCCTGGTTACGATGTTTTGTCGTACGGTATTTTACAACATACGATCTTTATCCTACGATCATTTACCCACGAGCCTTTTCTTACGATCTTTAGCTTACGATCTTTGGTCGCACGATATTTTGCGACGTACCGTAAACGGTTGTGACTTTGCCATGTTTTCAACTTTAGACGCTTGTATTCTTTACACTTCTTAACTTGTTGGGATGACTCTATGTTCAAAACACGGATGAAGATTAGCTCTTTTGGTTTTACTATTATCGTATTTATATCTTGCCTAAAAATATAAATTTTTTAAGAAAATGAGTCGTGGCAAAGTTAAACTGAAAAAGGGGTGACTTTGCCACTATGTCAAAACATGGTTGTTTAACGCTTGCAAATAATTTTTATGCATTTTTTTCCCATTGTATGGGGGAGGGCAACCATCTTTAATTGTTTAATAGGAAAAAATGAAGCAATTCAAAGTTTTTTGCTCTTAAATGATGTACATAAAAGGAGAGATACATTACTTTTATAATACATTATATTTGTTGAAAATTATTGACATTGATAATAAATAGAAACTGAAAAATAGTTCAGAATAGATAAATAAGCAAAAATATGATTGTATCGGTACTCTAGGACCGTGCCACATTCCTGCAGTGGCATTGAGAGGAACAGAAAGAAGACGTTCTTGCGGCAACTTATCGGCACCCTTATTATCAGCGTTTTGATCTATACAATGATACCAATTTCTTCAGCTAGTCTTACTGGCAAACTCAGGAGTTGTAGATGATCATGACTGTGCTGAAAAGTTGGGCCCAGCTTCATCCATTTTTTGAGTTTGGTAATTTTTGCCTTTCTATATTCCCACTGTGCATTCCTGTGCTAATTTTAAACGTATGAACTCTCACTTTTTAAAAAACCAATTTGGAGGTCAAAATGATGCTACATTAAAAATTATTTTGAATTGCATCGGATAAGCATTCAATTTTTGCATAAATAACATGGTGGCAAAGTCATCCCATGTGGCCTGCTATTCACTTAGAAAAATCGCCACCAAAAATTTCCGCTAAATGAAGTGACAAATGCCAGTTTTGTTGGATATGCTAACTTAACAGCCTTGTCATGATCAACCATACCAAGCTTCAGCATCGCAGGTGGTCTAAGACATGGTTAGATAATAAAAAGTTTGGAACTCTTCAAATTTGACCATTTCAATGACTCCAATAAAGTGGAGCCCAGTTAGGTATTTAGTGGTAACTTAGCTAACAGTGTTAGTTATATTGGGAGGCCCATCAATTACCTTTCATTTGTGCAAAAAACATTACTACATTCCTCATAAAATATCATGGGAGCTCCTTCTAAAGCATTTTTATTATGACCCTCACTGACCTGACCTCTGTGACCTGACCTGGTATCAGTGACCTCAAATAGCAAAATATGTGTTTGGTGAACCATGCCCCATCGATGATTTTCAATGGCATGCAAACGTAAATAAGTAAGTAATTAAAGACGTATTAAAAATCTCTGTTATGGGCGCAAAATGACCTCGCAGTCGGCGCACCCCTAACCCCCAACAAACAAACAAACAATTTCAATGGCATGCATTTTACTCGATTTTACAACACATTTCTTGAAATGAAATGCTCGCCATTGTCAAATGTTTTCAAGAACCGGCTGGACAAGCACTGGACGAACTATGCCCTCCTTGCTCCACAATAGAGAAGACTGTTGATGCTACCCACGCTCTCTACGACGGATCCACCGGGCTATCCTAGTGCCTTCAATGATCCCCAAATGTCAGGAGGTATCAGGTATGACTGTAAACCTGTAAACGGTTAAAGCTCGACCTTTGACCTGACCTGTCATGTCATGTCATGTCATGTCATGTCCCATCGCCATGTCCCACCAGGCCTGGCCGAGCTGGCACACCGCGAGTACCAGGCCGGCGACTACGAGAACGCCGAGCGCCACTGCATGCAGCTGTGGCGCCAGGAGCCGCACAACACGGGCGTGCTGCTGCTCCTATCGTCCATCCACTTCCAGTGCCGGCGGCTGGAGAAGTGAGTACCGGGGGCTTTCCACAGTTTCCAGTGGTCATCGCTGTCACGTTCGCAACCCGATTTCGGGAAACTCCAGGTCACTTTAGTCATTAGCAAACATTTTATTTTGGATAGTCTTACTTTTATTGTTCCAATGGTTACGCCACCATAGGCCCTCTACAGATTTTGCCTTGTTTATTTACGTGAATCTTGAGTCTGACTTTCGACAACTCCACCACCGTGCCTCTGACCGTCTTCGCGTCCCGTCCCGCCCGGCCGCAGATCCGCGCACTTCAGCGCCATGGCCATCAAACACAACCCGATCCTGGCCGAGGCCTACAGCAACCTAGGCAACGTGTACAAGGAGCGCGGCCAGCTGCAGGAGGCGCTCGACAACTACCGGCACGCCGTGCGCCTGAAGCCAGACTTCATCGACGGCTACATCAACTTAGCGGCGGCGCTGGTGGCTGCCGGCGACCTGGAGGGCGCCGTGCAGGCCTACGTGTCGGCGCTGCAGTATAACCCGGTCAGTCAGGCGACGGAAGCCCTGTCGGACGGATCGCCGGAAACCTCGGGAACGGAGGGGACCGAGGTGGGACCGTGGCCGCGTCAGGAGAGACTTGGGACGGCGGGGAGGCTGGTCCCGTACTCCGCGGTCGTTACGGGAAGGCTGGTCCCGTACTCCGCGGTCGTTCCGGGGAGGCTGGTCCTGACTCGGCGGTCGTTATGGGAGGCTGGTCCTGACTCGGCGGTCGTTATGGGAGGCTGGTCCTGACTCGGCGGTCGTTATGGGAGGCTGGTCCTGACTCGGCGGTCGTTATGGGGAGGCTGGTCCTGACTCGGCCGTTACGGTGGGCAGAGTGAAGGGATGGCCTGAGTGGTAAGTGGGACGCAGTGGGGTGAGTATGACTCACTAAATGGTAAGTACTCTGCAGCGACGGTGGGATCGTAAAAGCTGCGGCTGAACGTAAAAATGGTGGTTGGTGTGGTGATGGTGGAACATGTATGCAGTGTTTATAATTCGTTTTCCGTGTGCTTCTGGTTCCTTGCATAAGAACAGAGCGATGTCACCATAGATCGTAATATGCACGTATTTGTCGCTGTACTCGCGGCGGCTGGCGTATTCGTGTTTGACGGCGGTATCCTTCGGCAGGACCTTTACTGCGTCCGCAGTGATCTCGGCAATCTTCTGAAGGCTCTAGGCAGGCTAGACGAGGCCAAGGTATGTCACTCAATTCGTGTCGTTTGCTCTCAGCAAAGATCCCACCCCGGCCCCGCTGACCCCGTTCCTTGCCCGGCGCGGCGCCCGCGGCCGCCCTGCGATCAGAGTATGTTTGCCTCAGCGTGGCTCAAGGCACGAGGTCGCTCTCCGGGCGGGTCGACCGGCACGGCCGCGCGCGCTCCGCGCTGCTCACTGCGCCGCCCATGTGCCGCCGCGGTGCCCCGCCGCCCGCCAGACTACAGCCGTCTCACTGCTGAGCGGCCCACTCAAACCCGCCGCCCGGGCGGACAGTTTTTGATTCATATGTGGACGTAATGATTAGCTAGCGGACGGGCTGGCGGGCTCCGCGCCGGCACATCGGCCTACTTACTGCGCTCTGCGATTGACAGGGTTCCAGTCAGCCGGAGATTCGCCCGCCGCCGCCGACAGCTCGGCCTTTTGGCGCCGAGCTGTCCATTTTGAGATGATTGATTGGTTTGACGCGCGCGATTGCCGGAGGCCCAGAAGATCGAGGTAGTATCCGCGCGCAGTTTCTCCGTCCTCGCCGACATCCGACGGCCGCTCGCCGCGTTTTGCGCCGCCGTTCAGTCGCGGCTGTTTTGTGTCGGTGGACGCGCCCCGGGAGCGACCGAGCCAGGCCGGCCGCCGGCCGGTACGAGCCCGTCAGGGTCACGGACGTCGCTCGGGTGATCCTGCCCCGCCCCAGCACCTCTCCTAGTCCCTCCCCGGCCCCCCACCTCAGCCCCGCACCCGGTGGGATCTTTGCCCGTGTGCCTGTGTACAAGGTGTGTGGGGCGTGGCGGCGACGCCCGAACCGCCGGCCGTAGTGTTCCACTGTTGTGCCGACGCCCCTGTGCGCCACCATTGTGCGTGCTTCCTGTTCACCAGGCAGAAGGGAGCGCGAGAGAACATACGAAAACATAGTACCGGTTGCTTGATGCCGGTCGCTCGGCTATCGGCCGTTAACAATGAGCTGGACGTATGTACGACGCTCAGTAGTAAGACTTTATCTGCTCTTCTTTGCACGCAAGTCTCGGTGATGTGGATTCTCTGCTAACGTAATGCGATGTAACGTAAATCAACGTAACGTAACGTAGCCAGATGTGATGCACGGGAGCGCCGTTTACAAACTGTTGGACTGTGCTGGACGGATAGCCAGCAGGGGGAGGGAGGGGGCGCCGGTCTGGCCGCGCGCCGGGGTGGACGTGTACCGCCGGTCCTTTGGAGCCGCGCGCCTATGTGCTCGTGCCCTGATGGAGAGAGTTCGGACGCCACTAACCGGTCCATCCTTCTATCTCTGCACGACTAGATGTGTGGAGTTCGAGTCGGTGCGGCGGCCTTCGCCAGTCATCGGTTATCCTGCTGGTAGGTCGGGCCGGCGACGGAGGCGACCCGGTTAGTATACACGGATAAGTATACAACTGTATTGAATACTCAATGCACTGTATGTACTGGTATGCGTGCCGTGTGACTGAGAGAGCGCCCGAGTGCGTGACTGCTGACTCGTGTGCGTGCGGTGTGCGAGGGCCGGCGGCCGCTGGCGGCCCGCCCGGCCCCCGGGCCGGTGACGGGCCGTCCGGCGCCGGCCGCCAGTGCCACACACCTGTCTGCTTTCGCAGAGGATCGTCTCCGCCCGCTGAGCTGCGCACGCCGCGCCCCGCGGCGGCGGCGCCGCGGCCGGCGCGCCTCACGCGCGGCACCCGTCCGCGGCCGCCGCGGCGCCGCCGCACCACGCTCTGCGATTTGCGCCGCGCGCGCCCGCGCTCCGCTCCCCGCGCCTCGCGCCCGCGCTCTGCGCCCCCTGCCACCGCGCCCGTGCGCGGACACCCTCTGACGACCGCCGCTTCACCAGGGCTGCTACCTGAAGGCTATTGAGACCAGGCCCGACTTCGCCGTGGCCTGGAGCAACCTGGGCTGCGTGTTCAACGCGCAGGGCGAGATATGGCTGGCGATCCACCACTTCGAGAAGGCGGTGGCGCTCGACCCCAACTTCCTGGACGCCTACATCAACCTGGGGAACGTGCTGAAGGAGGCGCGCATCTTCGATCGGGCGGCGGCCGCCTACCTGCGCGCTCTCAACCTGTCGCCCAACCACGCGGTGGTGCACGGAAACCTGGCCTGCGTCTACTACGAGCAGGGGTGAGAGCGGCTGCGCGTGCTCGTTGGAGAGATGTTCGTGCGGCGGACGATTTAATTTAGTGCTAGACACCATTTATGGTACACTCGGGGGCAGATTGATCTTCCACCACTCCCTACCCATCGGGCGATCCCATGGCTCAGCACTGGCTGCTTCCAGTGTTGCCCGCCCTTAGCACTGCTCAGCACTGCCTGCCAGTGCCAGTGCTGCCAGTGCTGAGCCATGGGAGGCCGATGGGTAGGGAGTGGTGGAACATCAATCTGCCCCCGAGTGTACTACGGGCTAACTCATATTTTGTTTTATGTTTGTGGCATGGCGTTTGTTTTTGTTTGAACAACAATTTTTAGCTTCACCTACCATTTTGATTCTAGATAGTTAGGGTAGGTAAGTTAATTAATCATTTTTGACCGACGTTAGTGTAACTAGCCCAGCAAGAGAGATCTCTTAGCATGTTTGTCTTAGCAAGCAACACGCTGATACCAGAATCACTACAGCAACTGTACTTCTCCTTCCTCCATCGTCTCACAACCAAACCCCCTGTTTGTCCGGCAGTCTGATCGACCACGCCATCGACACGTACCGACATGCCATCGAGCTGCAGCCCAACTTCCCCGACGCCTACTGCAACCTGGCCAACGCCCTGAAGGAGAAGGGCCTGGTGACGGAGTCGGAGGAGTGCTACAACACGGCTCTGCGGCTGATGCCCACCCACGCCGACAGCCTGAACAACCTGGCCAACATTAAACGTGAACAGGGATTCACGGAGGAGGCCATCAGGCTCTACTGCAAGGTATGAGGGATTGAGGGGAGGCGGGGGGGGGGGGGGGGAGTTATTGGCCGGAGTGGAATCTAGGGGCAGGGGCATGCATGTGTGCGACACTGCTGTTTTTTTTTTTTGCATGAGTGAGATATTGAGCCAGTTCCGTGCCTTATACTATTGCGGGCTTATATTCTGCGTATTTTGCCGAATGCCATGTGATGGACTAATGCTATTGTGCAGCCTTTGACTGATTGCATTCAGGATGTGTGGAAAATGTTTCATATACACGGCGATATGGTTGACAGACAGGATGCATGTTTTTATCTAGCCGCATATGTGCCATAGCGGATTTTCATTGAACGGCTCCGCCTTACGTTTTAGCCGTACGTCTCCCCTCCTGGAAAGTCTCGTGCCTCTGTTCCATTGTTACGTCCTGACGTCTATTGTTACCTTTGGACAGGCTCTGGAGGTGTTCCCGGAGTTCGCAGCGGCACACTCCAACCTGGCCTCGGTACTCCAGCAGCAAGGCAAACTCAACGAGGCACTGATGCACTACAAGGTACGGACGCGCGCTTACATAATTTCATCTTACTGTGAGCCTCGAATCTCTCGTTTTCGCCATGGTCACGGGCCATTCTAGCATAATGCCCAAAATCTTTCAATAGTCATCCTGGTCAGGCGGAGCTTTAGTCTCCATAAATCCAGTTCGACGTCCTGCCCGAAACCGTGATGTGATCGTGCATGCACCTTTCAATAGAAGCTGATACGCCTTGTCTCTGACATCACTACGGTCACTCTCCGCCCAATCATTCACCCCGCCACCACCAGCGCCGCAGCCAGCAGCATTGCTTCCCTGCGCTGACCGAACCGTGCCCGCCGCCCCCAGGAGGCCATCCGGATCCAGCCTACGTTCGCAGACGCCTACAGCAACATGGGCAACACGCTGAAGGAGATGCAGGACATTCAGGCGGCGCTGCAGTGCTACACGCGCGCCATCCAGATCAACCCGGCGTTCGCAGACGCTCACAGCAACCTGGCCTCCATTCACAAGGTGAGAGACGGGCGAGGGCGCGTGGCGGCTGAGGGACTGGCCGAGGCGACGGTTGGGATGCTGATCTGGCGCTCTTCTGCTCCGCAACAGCCGGGCGTAATAAATGTAATACACTGGCAAGGTCATTATCCTTTCCGTGATTTGATAAAGAGGCCAGTCCGGTGTCATTTGATTAATTGCCCTGTTATGTAAGTGTGGTGTGACGTAAGTGCGGCGGGAATGAGCCGCTAATTAATGACAGGTGACTTGCTGGGTGGGCAGGAGCGGGGTGTGGGTGCCCGCGGCACGGCTCTGTTAGTTCCTCGTCACCGTGTGATCTGACTGTGTCTAACACCGCTCTACTCGGCTCGTACAGGACTCTGGGAATATCCCGGAGGCTATCCAGTCGTACCGGACGGCCCTGCGGCTGAAGCCAGACTTCCCGGACGCCTACTGCAATCTGGCGCACTGCCAGCAGATCGTCTGCGACTGGACCGACTACGATGCGCGCATGAAGAAACTCATCTCGATCGTGGCCGATCAGCTGGAGCGCAACCGCCTGCCGTCGGTCCACCCGCACCACAGCATGCTCTACCCGCTGTCCCATGAGTTTAGGAAGGCCATCGCCAACCGGCACGCCAACCTGTGCCTGGAGAAGATCGCTGTGCTACACAAGTCGCCCTACAAGTACCCCACGGAGGTGAGAGAGCTGCGAGAGTCGAGTCGTCGTGTTTGTAACCAAAGGTATTGGTATTTTGCTGGTTTCTTTAACCATTTGTTGAATATTTTTTTATGTTATAGCTTGGTTAAGTCGTAGTTTTTATGTAAGTTTGTTTGGTGTTTCATATCTTCCCTTTTTGGCAGGTATTTGGTTGGTCTTGATTTCCAAATTATCTTGGATCGACCACTGAAATTGACCACTATAATTGACCACTTATTGAACGCGGGTCAGGCGAAAGACGCTGATTTGAAATACAACGGCTGCTATCAATTCATCACAGCACCACATTTCATTTGAAATTAATGCTACGATATTCTGCCCACTGTCAGTCTGGCAGACGCTGCTATGTGCCAGGCGGTTAATGTAGTGGACATCGCTCAGATGCGCATTTCCAGCCCGTTCCGCCGTGCTGCGGTGTCTGCCGGTGTCTGTATCGATCTATCCCTCCCCACTGACCGCCGGCCTCCGCTGCCCCCTCAGCTGGCGCCTGACGGCCGTCTGCGCATCGGCTACGTGTCGTCTGACTTCTGCAACCACCCGACGTCGCACCTGATGCAGAGCATCCCCGGCTTCCACCGTGCCGATAAGGTGGAGGTGTTCTGCTACAGTCTCAGTCCCGACGACGGCACCAACTTCCGACAGAAGATCGCCAGGGAGGCCGAACACTTTGTCGACCTCAGCCAGGTGCGGTGTGGCTGGCGGTCACAGGATGGAGATGGGAGGGAGATTTTTTGGGCATCGTAAAAGGGTCCGGGGCGTGTGTTGTAATCTGTAGATCCGTCTCAGAGTTGGAGCCTTAGTCTTTCGGTCTGGAGCCCAGCTTGCAATCGCTACCCTAACTGCACACTGCATTACATAATACATAGCCAAGGGAACATCAAGCTTAATAACTGTAATGCACACGAACGTGCGTGTTGGTTACATAATTAGACCAACTTCATTTGAAACTCAGATAGTGGTCGAGAATTAGTCAAGTATATGTGTGCTAGCTCTGAGTAGCAAACAGTCAGGATAGTATTGTTTTATATCTTACTTTACTAATTTTCCCAGAATGCTCGGTAGCCGCGCTGCCGCGTTCAAAAGCAAAACTTTATTGGTAACTGTGTTCCACCCGACCTTGACTCTCGCCCCCCCCCCCCCCTGTCACATTTCAGATCCCGTGCAACGGCAAGGCGGCCGACCGCATCAACGCCGACGGAATCCACGTCCTGCTGAACATGAACGGCTACACGAAGGGCGCGCGTAACGAGATATTCGCGCTGCGGCCGGCTCCAATCCAGGTGATGTGGCTGGGCTACCCGGGCACCAGCGGCGCCTCCTACATGGACTACATCGTCACGGACGCCGTGACGTCGCCGCTCCAGCTGGCTCACCAGTACAGCGAGAAGCTGGCCTACATGCCGGACACGTTCTTCATCGGCGACCACATGCAGATGTTCCCGCACCTCAAGGAGCGGGTCGTCATTGACGGCCAGAACAAGGTGGGTGGGAGCAGCCCCCGTTCACGAGCTCCAGAATCCCTTTACCGTGACGTCACCACGGCGGTAGAATCCCCCTTCACCCATGAATAGGCATGCATGCAAGTTTCTTCACTTTTCGAGCGAGCTGGAGAGAAAAAAAAACAAGGATTATGTGTCATCAAAAGTTGTACCAATGTAACAATGAGCTCGCCTCATTACGATAAATGGGGCTGAAACTAAAAAGAAAATAGGACTATGTCGAGCCAAAATCAGCAATTCAAATGACCCCTTCATTTGAACGTGAAGGATTTCATCTGATGACGTCACCACGGCGCCTTTATTTCCCTAGTGAACCAACCTGAGTAGTAAAGGGATCTTGCGTGGGAGTGTGTGTGTGTGTGGGGGGGGGGAGGCAGGGGCCCTGTTTCACCGGTGATAGCAGCACGCTACTATCAAATTGCGCGAGCTGACGTAATGTGATGAGGTCACACTAATGACGTTTCGCGTAATCCGTGAGCTGCGTTTGGAACAGAGTTGCTGTCTTGTTGTATGCGTTTGATAACATTTGTTTGTTCGCACGGCCGTAAAGATGTTAGCAGCAATATTTGATGACATCACACAGATTGACGGCGTCATGGTTTGTTGATGTTTCCATGGAAACCCAATTTGACACGCTGCTGCTATCACCGGTGAAACAGGGCCAGGGTATGTCTGACTGGTGTTGATGGGGTGGTTGCGAAATTGGGTGTAGGTGGGCGGGGATAGATGGCTGTTTGCACTTGTTATGTGTTGAGAATTGACATATCTGCCAAGGTAGGACTGTCAAATCGACATGCCCTTTCATAATTGAATCCATAGACCCTAATTTATGGCTGTTGCCTACAAGTATGTTACGGTAACTGGCCAGTAGGATGATACCCTGCCCTAATTATTTGTATAGCACGATTATAATTGGACTAGGATCCTGCCGTATACCGTTGTTGCGTGGGTCGACCATCGGCCGCTGTTAAAAAGTCCGGCAACCCTCCCCACCGTGAACCGTCCCTGACCTCCGTACCGCCCCACCCGTGTCCACAGCTGGCGTCCAGTGTGGCCGACAACGTGGCCATCATCAACGCCACCGACCTCTCCCCGGTGCTGGAGAACACGCAGACCAAGACGCACAAGGAGCGCGTCAATACGAGCGGCCAGGACGGCGACGCGGCCACCACCGAGGTGAAGCTGACGGTGGCGCAGCTGCCGTCCACCACCGGCATCGAGACCATGATCCAGAGCGGGCAGGTGAGAGTGGGAGGAACGGGGACTTGGTAGATGGGTAGGTGGAGGGGGCTGGTCGGATATGTTGAATGGGAGGAGAGAAACAGGTTGTGGATCAAAAGAGGACGAGTCAGTGTTTGATTGGTGTAGTTATGGTTGAATCCATGGATGAAAATAGCATAAAGCCTTTCTGAGGCTGCCATATGACTTTTCAACCCGAATAATGCATCTGGAACTCCTCACCACTTATGCGACCCTCTCAATTATGCGTTGATATAGTTGAAAGAGGTAGCCATTTGGAAAGGGCTCCAGATTATCCGTATGCCCTCAAAACACAGACGTCATCGTCGTGTCATCGGACGTAACCGTGCTGACACCCGACCCTGTTGTGCCGCGTTTTGCAGCTGCAAACCCAGGTGACATGACCGTGCTGACACCGACCCTGTTGTGCCGCGTTACAGCTGCAAACCCAGTTGACATGACCGTGCTGACACCCGACCCTGTTGTGCCGCGTTTTGCAGCTGCAAACCCAGGTGACATGACCGTGCTGACACCCGACCCTGTTGTGCCGCGTTTTGCAGCTGCAAACCCAGGTGACATGACCGTGCTGACACCCGACCCTGTTGTGCCGCGTTTTGCAGCTGCAAACCCAGGTGAATGGGCTGACCATCCAGAACGGCCTGGCCACGCCGCAGACTGAGCCCAAGGCCGCCTCCGGCGAGGAGGTGCCCAAGTCGATCCTGGTCACCACGCGCCAGCAGTACGGCCTCCCGGAGAAGGCCATCGTGTACTGCAACTTCAACCAGCTCTACAAGATCGACCCGAGCACGCTGAAAATGTGGATCGCGGTGAGTGGTCGCGACAGGACTCTTGTAGGGTTTTTGGCTGCCCGTGTGCTTACTAGGCGCTCAGATGGTTGTGTGTTTTTGATGTGCCCTTGGTTTTGTTGAAGTTGCTCGTTATGAAAATGGTGCTTTCTTTCGTCATGCCGGCTATCACAGTCATAATATGCCCAGCTGATAGTTTGTGTCCCCGTGCAACTCTAACCCGTCTCTCCATCTGAGCAGATTCTGAAGGCGGTGCCCAACTCTGTGATGTGGCTGCTGCGTTTCCCGGCCGTGGGCGAGGCGAACCTCTCCGCCACCGCCCAGGCGCACGGCTTGCCCGCCAACCGACTCGTCTTCAGTAACGTGGCCGTCAAGGAGGAGCACGTACGCCGCGGCCAGCTGGCCGACGTGTGTCTAGACACGCCGCTCTGCAACGGACACACCACCGGCATGGACGTGCTCTGGGCGGGAACGCCCATGGTGACGCTAGTCGGTTAGTGCGGGGATGGAGGGGAGGGGGGGGGGGACTTGCGTTTTACACGGAGTTGACACTAGCAAGCTCAACGGGTCGTAGTTGACGCATCCATCAGCGTCGAAACGCTTGAAATTTCCCCCTGTTATTACGCTGGTACGCTTACGTAATCTTTACTGGCTGCAGCAACTGATCAACTTTATATCGTTAAATCTTCGTCCGCATTAAGGTCAACCAAGCTGTCAAACAGATTCTGTCAGTGGGAGATGGGAGACCAGCTGCTAATGTGTGTTTCCCCGTGCGTTTTGCGTCTAATTCCCGATCGTCGCTGACTGTCGTTCCCGACTCTCGTACAGGCGAGACCCTGGCGTCTCGCGTGGCGGCCTCCCAGCTCACGGCTCTCGGCTGTCCAGAGCTGATTGCCACCACACGCAGCCAGTACGAGCAGATCGCCATCAAGCTGGGAACCGATCCCGACTAGTGAGTACCGTGAGCCGTGGGGTACTGAGCTGGTCCGCCAGCGGTCGAGCAGAGTAGCTTGAGAGTGATATGAGAGTGTGATGATGTTCGGGTTGATTTGGTGGAATAGTTCGCTGAAATTACAGAGAAAATGACTTAGCTTTGTAGCTGATAAATAAGGCTTGGTTTTGTCGGATGTGGCCTCCCAAGCATTTGAGATTCCCTGTAAATGAAAAGACTGTATGCTTATATAGTTTTCTTAAAATCAATATCGTCATTTTTCAATGTAAACTAGCAACTGTGTCAGTATGACGGAAATGCCTACCTCTTCTCCCGGCGATGGCTGTTTGTCTGACCGTCTATTTGTGTGCGTTTGCAGCCTGAAGTCGGTGCGCTCCAAGGTGTGGGAGGCGCGCGTCACGCGACCCCTGTTCAGCTGCAGTCGGTACGCGGTGAACCTGGAGCGTCTGCTGCTCCGTCTCTGGGAGCGCTACCAGCGCGGTGAGAAGCCCGACCACCTCACCGACTGGTAGGCGGGGACACTAGTGACGTGAACAGGACTGGGGAGACGCTAGGACGCAGCTGGCGATGTGTGTTGGATAGCGGAGTGGTGCGCCGCTCCGCCGCTGTGACAAGCACACCGGGTAACATGGACCTGAGAACGTGACGCGTGACGAGAGCGTGACGGATCGCCCGAGCGGGCGAACGCCGACGGGCGGCACTGTATATATTAGGCTCTGACTGACCCCGTCTGTGGCGCGCTCGCTGGGGACTCGCCCCGGGGCGGTGCGACTTTGTGTGGTGCACGCACCGCGCTGTGTATCGTGAGTGCTCACCGCTTACCTGAGTGGCACCGAAGTGCACCGTTTGGGCTTTGAGGGGCGTGAGACGAGGCTCGCCTGACGAGCCGGTGTGTGTCCTGCGGGTGTGCGCTCCGCACTCGCCGGCGACTGGGCGTGTGTGTTGGGTGGAAAGTAAACCGCTCCCGTGGGCACTCTTGCGAGTTCCTGCTGGATGGAACGGATGGCGAGCGCCGTCCGCTGGGCATATTTCACATAAGTAGCGTAGCTTCAGTGACGCGGGCGGGGCGCCGCGACCCCCGGGTCGCACCTGCTGTCGATGTCTGTAGACTCGGTGTGCGCCGTTCCGGACGCGGTGCGCCGGCCGGCGGAGCGCGGACTCCGTGTGTCGTGACGCTTAGCCGGGCGCGGCGCCGGGCTCCCGTACCGCCGCTTTCTGTATGATATATTCGTGAATTGTGTGCGCGATTGTGGGTATGTGTGAGGCTCATGCCGGGCTGGCGAGTGTTGTAGGAGGCTGGTTTGTCGAGTGCTTGCCGTAGCGTAGGACTGTTCGACATTCATGTGATACTTCCCTCCTGTAGCAGAATATATTCTGGTGAGCATTGATAAATTGACGTTTGTTGCTGGCGGGATGGTATGTGCGATGGCGAGACTGAGGAGAGGTTGATGAATATCAATCGTTAGACGCCTCCCGGAATGGCCGCTTGGAACGCATTGCACCTCGCGGTGAAAAAAAATCCCCTAGAGACACGGGACTTGGCAACCCTATTCATTGCGTGCTAATCATGATGAGGAGGGGCTATCTTCAATTTCTTTCAATTACTGAATTTCTGTGGTAAGCGGAAGCATATTGGCCATCGTCGTTCAGTAGCTGGGAAACGGTGGACTGCTGGATCTTCAATCGAGACGCATCGTGCTCTCGCATGACTGGCTCATTCGGCTCATTACGACAGAGGTGTGATACCGTGAAAAGCCCGAGACAGAATTCCAGAAAATTAAACTGCGCCAAGCAACTGTCTGTGTTGTCAAGGGTGTTGTGTGCAAGGCCCTATATACTGTTGTGTGTTGTGTCGGTGGCTGCGTTGGATCCAAGGCCCTATGTTGGATCTGCGTTGGCTGCGATTTGCCGTAAGTTCGTAACATGCAAGCCGCCAATTATCTAGAATTGCCGTCTCCAATTTATGAAAAGGTTGCATCCGTTCGCACATATTTTGAGTAGAGTTATTGTTACGATCAAGGAAGATACTGTATTGAATTAACGACCAGCCGACCACCATGCAAGACGAGTTGGAGCGTGCCCAGTTTGAGGAAGTGTATGTGTGGGTGGACGACATTCCTCTATCGCGTCCTCGGCGTAACATCCACAGGGATTTCTCTGATGGCTGTATGTTCGCAGAGGTGGTACAGTACTTCGTACCTCGCCTGATCGAGCTTCACAACTACATCCCGGCCAACAGCGTGAAGCAGAAGCGCCAGAACTGGGACCTGCTCTGGAGGAAGGTGCTGCCGAAGTTCGGCATCAGACCGAGTGATGTCAACACGGACTGGCTGGTCCAGGCCAAGCCCGGTGCCATTGAGAAGCTCCTCTACCTGCTGAAAACGAAACTCGAAGAGTCTGACGGCCGAGAGCTCAACGACTCCTGCTCTGTGAACCAGTCGGCGACTCCTCCGACGTCAGAGCGACTAGAGTTGTCTCAGACGGACGTCTCTCCAAGAGAAAATCCAGCGGACGGCGCGACGCCCGACCAGCCGGACTCTCCCGGCCTGCCGCCGACAGCGCCTCTAGCGGCGGAGACGGACAGCTCTCGCCGGCCGGCCGTCGCGCCCGTCGCTACCTCCGCCCCCGTCCCCGTCTCACAGATTCCCGTGAAGCGGATCGGGGTAGCCCGCGGCGGACCAACACCAGGCTCCCCTGCCGAGCTGGCCAGGCGAGGGAGGAGCAGACTCACGCCAAAATCCTCTCCGACTACGGCACCAGCAATCGGCACGCACGCCCAAACGGCTGAGAGGAACCGACTTCGGCAGCTGGTCATTGAACAGACTGAGCAGATTGCCGTGCTAAAGGCCCGTTGCTGTAAGCTGGAGCAGCTGCTGCAGCTGCGGGACGATCAGCTGCGACAGCTGGGCGGCGGTGAGCCCGAGTGACCCGTCTCGAGGTCAAGAACGGTCAACGGACAGTGGAGGCTGGTGAGAGTCCGATGCGCCCGGTCGATGAACTACTGCAACTGCAACGGTGATTGTCATGCTGTGTTGAAAAGCGATGTGTGTGGATAATGAAAAATATTTCATCATTCAATAACAAACTTGAGGCGTATTCCTGACTTCATTTTTCTTTGCTGTCAGATTTAATAACGGCATTTTATCGCGTTGCTATACTACAGATCGGGTCCCCAAGTCCTGTCCGCTGTGTTTGTCATATCTACGTGCCGATTTGAATTACTCCCATCGATCGCTTCACATGAATCCCGGACTTCGCAGCCCGCAGACAGCCGCAGTTAAGCAGTCGAGGGTGTCACACTTGATTGCTTAAAACTTCCGTGACGACCGAACACTCGACAGAATCATCGTTAGAAGTGAAAGAATCGGAATTCGGAACCCTTCGACATGGCGATCTAATTGGCTCCCTCGACGCTCGCCTAAATTTTGATCGGACTGGCATTACATCTTCAAGAATATTTGGGAGTTATTAGCCGTTTTCACGACGGGCTATCCGGCGAATGCACCTGATTTGACCAAATCTGCACCTAATTTCTTTTACAGCAAATATCTTCATTTTATGAATTTCAGTGTTTTAATCGATGATGCTCTCTGATCATATGACAAAGCAGGCATATAAGCAATTAGTGCAACCCTAGCTGATAGCTGCTAAGAGACACACTGAACCTGATTTGACCAGATCTGCACCTAATCTGTACCAGATGTGCACCAAATGTGTACCAGATGGCCGTCGTGAAAATTACTATTGACTTGAATTTAGGTATTAGTAATTTATTAGTTTGGCTAGAGCTCTCTTCCGTTATGAGTCATAGTTCATCCCTTACGTATTCATTGGACTCCTCACACAACGTTCCACGTAAGCGTCGGCAGTTCATCGTAATCGACTTGTCACTACAGACACTACCAAATCGGCATCACCGTATAAACGCCTTGACCAGCCCTCGCTCCTCAGCCGGCCTCGTGGCGCCACCTGGCGGATCCCTCCTCGAGGCGTTCCGAACCGCGGCGCCGGCCGCAGTCGAGGAGACTCCGCCCCCGCCGCCGGCAGCCGCGCGGGCCGCTCGCTCGCTCGCTCGTCCGTCCTGGGCCGGTCCCTTGAACGGCCAGCCAGTCGCGTTGGAGAGTGCGTGTGCGTTTGGAGAGGCCAAGACCGGTCCTGGAGGAGAGAGAGGGACTCAGGAAGACGACGGTGGACGCTCGGATGTGATCGGAGAGGGTGTCCATGGTCATTGATCGGGAATAGCCAGACGAGGAAGACGCCAGTGAGAGTGGAATAGGAGTGGTAGAGATCATTGGACATCAGGACTGGTGTATTTGGATGGACTGAGTGTTTGGGTGGACTGGCGAACGGAAGAGGAGCTACAGAACAAGAAGTGACGAGCCGAGTGAGGTAAGGCACGATCTTCATCCCAACATTACGGACTCTGATATTACGGTGTCACTGGCAGGTCCTGCCCGTAACTTGAGCTCGTAGCGTAGTACGTGCTCGTAACACATTATCGTTATCTAGTTTTTTTTTTTCAATTGAAGCCCCGCTGATGACCTCTGAAGTCCTGGCGTCCTAGAATCACAAATCGCATGCACGTCATATCAATATGAAGATTTGGTCATTTGTTTTCTTTTAGACGTCTCTTACAGGCATCCAATGCAAGGTGATATTTAGTTACATCTGTGTTTATTTCTTCTATCACCCGACTGCGCGACCCTGATCTCATCCCTATCTCCTGTAAATCGGCCGTCTTCATGACTCACACATGATCCCTCTCGGTCTGATATCTCGAGAATCGCGGCTCGGTGTTCGGTGCGAGATCAAGTTACCATAGCCTTCGGAGTTCGGAGTCTGTCGCTGCCCCCCCCCCTGCTCCCCTCCATCTCCCCACCGGTTCCCGGCATAATGCCACTCCTTGTGCCGAGTCTCTGGAATTTCGGCTAACGGGGCAGCTAAAAAGGCACAGACGAAAACGTGTTTGACAAGAGGATTTTTGCAGTCGGGGTCAGTCGTCGCGAATGGCATAGCTGCTGTGGTATTTCCGATTGTTGTTGCAATGCGGTGATATCGTTTAATTGTGTCCGAGGAAAGTTCGACTCTTCGATGAAATGAAAGGAGCTGGCACTGGTATTGGTTTTGGGCATTACGCGATTTAATCTGGAAGTCAATGCTAGTGGCGTTGAACACTTGGCTTCCGTTCAGGTTGTGACCTACAAATGACATACAGTCAACAAATGAGCCTTTAGTTACTGCCTAAAGTAATAATCCCTTATCCCTCGCGGGCCCGGGGGGGGGCGTTTTTCGCCCCCCCTGGCGAATATTTGCGATAACTCCCGAACGCTTAGGGATAGGAAGGCGAAACTTTCAGTACCTTTTCTCCCATCAATTTGACATCTTCTGAAGTAAAAAATTTGGACCTAGCCCCCTTGATGACGTCACAAGGTCCATTTTTCTAGACCCCTGCACGGTAAACTTCGGCGTCACAGACGCAAACTTCAAATAGCTGCTAAAAATAGAGTTTTAGAGATAAAGACAAATTACGAGCACGGCTGTGTAGCGTTTGACCTAGAGAAAAATAGAAAAATAGTTTTGGTGACCTGAGGTCAGAGGTCAGGTCAACGACCCCGAAATGTGGTTTTAGTTTTTCGCAAATAACTTCGACAAAAATGGTCCTAGAGCTACGGCAGTGGTACCATCGCATTCGCCTTGTCAAGCCGCGTCGAATGATATATATTTTGTTCGGAAAAGGTCAAGTTTCATGTTGACCTCATGTGACCTCGAATGACCTCTGGTTGACCTTGACACATGAAAGGTCGTTTATGATGGATTTGTACCCGCTGATCACGAATCTGGCATCTATTTTCCTCTAAGCCTTCATTTAGAGCTTCCGGATGGTAAAATTGTCTTATTTATTATTACTAACTTAATAAGTGAAATAGCCTCTAGCAGGGATACTCTTCTGTGACCTTGACCTTTGAGCAGCTTTGTATCGTAAGATGAACCACAAATAGGGAACTGATAAGCCTCAAAACATTTCAAAACATCTTGGAAGTTAGCACGCAAGATGTGCGAAAAAGTGCCAAGTTTGAGGTCAATTTTGAGCGTGACCTTGACCTTGACCTTTGATTTAGAGCACATTTTCAGAATCCTCAGATTCTCTTCTTTCGTTTGACACCCAATTTTGCCGGTTTGATGCAGCCTGCCGTCCTCTAGAAGGCTTACTTTGAGATCACTACACATGTGCCGGTTTTGGCCTTTGACCTTGACCTCTGACCTTGAAAATTGACCTGAGGTCAAAAATTTTAGGTGCATTAGAATCGTCTCGTAAGGACCTTTCGTTTGGTATCGCTTTTGTTTCCGTAGCTCTCTTATTTACGGAGTTAGACAGGGGGGGCGAAAAACGCCCCCCCGGGCTGCGGTGGTTGGGATTACCCCCCGGGCCCGGCCGGGTTATCTGAAAACGTCAAAAGTTTTAATAATTAGTTAACGTTTATTTTAATTGCAATGCACATACAGCATAGCAAATATCCTTTTAATTATTGCTTCTACGTTGAAGTGTTTTGTCCAACTACGCGTAAATAACTAAATAAGTAAAAATAAGTTCCAAAAATTACTCAGCTAATTATCCCTGAATATTCGTAAGATGAATCTACCTATTTATATTGTGCTATGTGTATTGTACCTTTATCGACGGCTTTAAACGCCAATATAACAGCATCGGTTAATTTTCTACCGATACACCCATCTCGGCCCTTGCGTCTTTCGCCCGAATCTTAACCCTCGCCCCGTTGGGGGCCATTTTGCCCCCCCCCCCTGTGGTTTTTCTTGAATAGCAAGAAAACGGCGGCGCGCAGCGCCGCCAAATTTTCAGTACCTTCCCGGGCATCAATTTGACACCTTCACACCAAATTTCAAGTCTTAGGTCACCTTAGGTCAGGAGTTATTGAGGTCAAACACTGAGGTCATGTTCGAGCAAAAATGAGCAAAAAACATGCAATCTTGAAACGCTCACCAAATCTACAGGTTTCAAGCAATTTCAAAGTTCTCTATATGGTCTAGTAGACAAAAAGTGGCGCTACAAAACTGCTATTCGGATTTTCAAAATTTTGTATTTTTGACCCCAAAAAATTCAAAAAATTGATTTTTTTAGGAAAACTAAAAAAATCATTTTTTTTTCGAATTTCGAAAAATCGGTATACATGTGATAGTCCCTGCGCTCTTCTATATACATACCAAATTTCAGATCGATATCTCGTTTTTTGGCCAAGTTATAGCGAAAAAACTGTTCAAAAATGATGACGTCAAATTTTTGAACTCAATTTTTAGCGATTCTAGACCACGTACGGCAAAACAAAGACCACCATTGAACTCCCCGTGACGAGCTGCATCGATTCGATACCCATTTTATGCAAAAATATTAACTTTGAAATTTGACCTAATTTAACCTGACCTTGACCTGACCTTGACCTGAACTTGACCAAAACGTGACCTAAGCTGTCCCCAAAGGCTGCCTGACCCACATAATCGCATTTGTCATGTAAAATGGACCATAAAACATGTATCACACGACACTTTCATATTGTGACCCCCCAGTGACCTGACCTCTGTGACCTGACCTGGTATCAGTGACCTCAACTAGCAAAATATGTGTTTGAAGAACATTTCCCCATCGATGATTTTCAATGAAATGCATTTTACTCGATTTTACAACGCATTTCTTGAAATGCCTGTAAACGGTGAAAATTGGACCTTTGACCTGACCTGTGACGTCATCGGTTTGACCTAGGTCAATAAAATTGGGTCACAAGGTAGTTCCCTGATAGGGCTATCCAACACCGTTTGCCGCTTGTCGCTAGGTTGCGTGGTTCTCGAGATCTTAGGGGGGGGGGCAAAATGCCCCCCCCCCCCCAACAGGGCGCGTTGCTCGGCAGAGCCCAACGGGGCGCGGGTTAACAATCTCTGTGAATATCGATAATCACGATCGATATGCCGTTTCATAGAATACCATATTTTGCACAGTGCCTTTGACCTAGCTCTGACCTTAGACTAGCTAGCACGGCCACTGTTTCCAGTGGAGAATGATAATCAGACATTGAAGCTGCTCTGAGGAGTTATTCACGCCTAGATGCATATCGAGACAGCTCCCCGCTCCAGCTGCCTCGAACTGCAGACCGAGGAGCGGTGAAGCGGCCGAAATGAGGTCTGCATTGACTCTAACATGAGTCTGGTAATGCAGGTCGTCGAGTCAAAGGGGATGTCATGACCAAAATTGTGCGGCTTCTGAGATGCCTTGCTTGGATGTAAGTAAAACGTATATGGTGCAGACAGTTTTGCATTGGCATATCTCTGGCCGAAACTGTTCTTGGAACATGGATGCAGCTCAGTTCTTTGTGCGTTTCTTGGTGCAGAGCTTGATAGATGTTTTGCATCTGAACAAATGTTTTGTGGAATCTGGGTCGCGGTATAATGTATTCTGACATTGATTCTCAAATAACGGACCTTGGAGAGCCAGGGCAGTGACTACATGCTGCGCTAATGCATGGCGAGCTTTAGCGAGAAATCATATACGCTCCGGTCTCTTCCTGCAATTTCTTGGCCGCCTTGGATCTCGGCCTCCTTGGATTGATTCGAAATGCATCTCTTATACACATATCAACAATTTTTCGGAGCCGGGTAGGTGAGGACGCATGGCTGCTGTTGCTCATCATGTCCAAGACAAGACGTGTAACGTTCGACGCTTTTAGCAGCGGATATAAGTTTTGCAGCCCGATTGAAGTCTTTGTCTGCGCCAATTTATACCTTATTGCTTTCTAAGCTAAGGTGAATTAGTACATTTTTATAACTGCGTTGCCGTTGATTGCATAGCGATGTTTTAGTTCGACATTTTTCTTTAACAAATGGAAAGCGGAAAACAGCGTAAGAATTCGTTGGTTTACCCATTCAAAGTTTACTTCAGACAATCCAAACACTCATTGATAATTAGCAGCATTACCGTACCAAACGCTGCAAAGACGCCACCCTCAGCACTTCCTCCTCCAGCTGCACGACCCAGTGCTGTATGTGGAGCAGCACCGACCGAGTCCCACCGTCACTGCCCTGCCGTCCGCTCTTTAAACCGTCATCACGCGGCACTCTAACGCCGCCAATCTGCGTGATTGCCGCCGCCGAGCCATTTTCCTCGAGAGGAGAGGCGGGACGGTCTCATTATCTCGCCCAAAGTGGTGGAGTGTCCCCGCACCTGGTCCTCTCACCGCCGGCTGCTGACCTGCTGGTGTGGGAGCTCTGTGTGACTGTTGACCTGCTGGTGTGGGAGCTCTGTATGACTGCTGACCTGCTGGCCTGCTGAGTGGGCTGAGTGCTGAGTGACTGCTGACCTGCTGACGCGGGAGCTCTGAGTGACT